AGTGCCACTGATGCCACGCTGCCCGCCTTGCCCTTCGCTGATGGTGCCCGCTGCCCCTAACCCCTCCCCCCTCTCCCCCCCACACCCCCTGGCCCCGTACCCTCCGCTGCCCTCTGTCCTTCCCTCTCATTCCCTCACTTTCCCCCTCTCCCTCTCGTCTGCTCCCTCTCTTCAGTTCTCCTCGTCTGTCTTTCACTCCTCCCCTTCTTCCTTTCTTTCGTTGTATCTCTTTCTTCTCCTCTTATCGCTCTTCTTTCTTTCTCCCCTCTTCCTTCTTTCTACCCTTCGATTTCCTCCTCCTCCCACTTCTCCTAGTCAATCTCTTCCTCTTCTCCTCCTTCTTCTTCTCTCCACCTCCTTCTCCTCCTTCTCCTCCCCTCCTCCTCCTTCTCTCCTCCTCTCTCCTCCCTTCTCTTATTCTCCTTTTCCTCCTCCTCCTTTTCCTCCTCCTCCCCCTCCCTCTCCCCCTCTCTCTTTCCCTCTACCCCACCTCATCCTCATCCTCATCCTCATCCTTATCCTCTCCATCCTTCTCTTCCTCCTCCGCTCCCCTATCATTCTTCCGACTCCTATTAATTTTCTTTTTCTTGTCCTCCCTTCCTACCTTCTCCCTCACTCTTCTTCTCTCCTTCCCCTCCTTTCCCCTCCTTTCCCCTCTCTTCCTAAACCAAATGTTAGTTTTACCTTCAACTGCATCAGTAAAGCATCCAACATTTTTAAGCAAATGGGAGGAGGGTAGGGTGAGGAGGGGGAGTAGGGGTGAGGGGGAGGAGTAGGGGGTGGGGGAGAGTAGGGGGTGGGAGGGGGGAGGAGTAGGGGTGAGGGGAGGAGGGGGTGGGAGGGGAGGAGGGGTAAGGAGAAGGGGTGGGGGAGAGGGGTGGGGAGGAAAGGGGGAGAGAAGGGAGGAGAAGGAGAGGGGTGGGAGGGAGGAGAAATGGGTGGGGTAGTGGGATAGGGAGTCTCTCTCTCTCTCTCTCTCTCTCTCTCTCTCTCTCTCTCTCTCTCTCTCTCTCTCTCTCTCTCTCTCTCTCTCTCTCTCTCTCTCTCTGTTTCTTTCTCTCTTTCTCTCGAGAAAAAATATAGAAAGAAGATAAATAAATAAAGAAAGAAAGAAAAATCTAAAATCAGTGCATATATGGTTGACTAATTTACTCGAACGAATACCTATCAAAATAATTGCTCTGATAATAACTACCCTGTTATGATTACGATTCAATTAATAGGCCTATGCGGCTGAAGATCTTATAGCCTACTTGTATGACGAAACTGTGCATGATTTTCTCGGTATGTGTCTGTTTTGTGTCTCTGCCATTAGCTGAAATATGATATGCAAAGTGCAGGACCAACATTCTTGCTGTTGCTCCGTTTCTTAACCGGTTATTTTTATCTTATCTCAGACTTTGAGATCGGTTTTTTAAGATTATTATATTGACTTCAAAGAGAGGATAACGAACCGTGATAGAATAAGTAAATTGAGAATGACTTGACCTGACCTCTTTTGACAGACAGAAACTTGATACCATCACAAAAAAATATATATCTTTAAAAAAAAATACAAACATATGGCGAGTCGTAACTAATTCACGAATCCCTTTTTCCTCCCATTGCATTCCATTCATACTTTTGCGTCTAAAAATAGCGATGACGTCATTCGATAGAGGCCGCGCGAAAATCTACGGGAAAAACACGTCATCTTTCACCTCATCTCTTCGTCCGATTTCCTTGGTTAACGGATTCGATTAGAAAATTTAAATCAAAATGGAGAAAAAAAATGAAGAAATAAAGCATAAATATGAAGATAGAAGAAATAAAGGAAGAGGAAATAAGATATTTAAAAAAATAAAATATAGATATGTAGAGAGAAGTGAAAAAATTACCTGAGATGAGAACACAAAAGAGGAAGAGAAAGAAGAGATACGAACGAATGAATAAGGGGTGCAAAAGAAAATAAGAGAAAGACATGAAAAAAGGATTTAGGGAGGAGGAAGAGGAGGAGTAAAAAGAAGAAAAGGAAGAGGTAGAACTATGGAAAATAAAGGAAAGGAAAAGAGAAAAGCGAAAGAGAAAACAACAAAATACGCGCAAAAAAAGGAAAAGAAAAGAAAACAGACGTCTGTACCTCTGGCCTTGTTCACAGCTGTTGCTATCCTCCTCCTCCTCCTTTTTCCTCTTTTCCTCTTTTTTTATTCCGCTTTTTCTTTTTCCTCCTCTTCTCCTCTATTTCTTCTCCTCCTTCTTCTTCTTCTCTCCTCCTTCCTTTCTCTTCCTCCTCCTTCTCCTCCTCCTCCTTTTTTCCTCCTCGTCCTCTTCCTCGTCCTCTTTTTCTTTTCCTCCTCCTCCTCTTATTCCACTTATTTTTCCATCCTCATCCTTCTCTCCCCTCCTCCTTACTCCTCCTTCTCCTCCTCCCCTCCTTTCCCCCTTCTTTTCGTCTTCTTCCTCCCCCTCCTCCTCCTTTTCTTTTTCCTTCTTTCCTTCTCATCCATTACTTCTTCCTCCTCCTCTTCCTCCTCCTACTCTTCCTCATCCTTTTCTTCCACCTCCTCATCTTCTTTTTCTCCTCCACCACCTCCTTCTCTTCCTCTTTCTTCTCCTTTTCTCCTTTTTCTTATTATCATTATCCCTGTTTCTTATCTCCTCTTCTCTCTTTCCTCTTTCTCGTGCGTTTCCCTTTGTTCTCTTCTTTGTTCTTTCCTCTTCTTCCTTTTGTATTCCCACTTCCTCTTCCTCTTACTCGCTCTTCCATTCTTTCTTCTCCTTCCTTTTGCTCTCTCCTTCATTATCTCTTCCTCTTGTTCCCTCCTCCAGTTTCTCTTCCTCTTCCTCTTGCTCCCTCTTTCGTTCTTTTTTCTTCTTCCTCTAGCTCTCTCCTTTATTCTGATCTCTTTCTTGCGCTTTCTTCTCCGCTTTCTCTCTCTCCTTTCGCTAATTTTCGTTTTCTATTCTAAATCTCTTCCCCTTGCTTCTTCTCCACTTTCTCTCTCCTCCNAACCGCTTCTTACCCCCCCTTGACCCTTTGCCTTCCTCCCCTATCATTATTAGTTACCACCCATCCTCATAACATATATTTACCCTTCATTCTATTCCTCCTTATTTACCCTTACTTCCATTCCTTCCTCCTACCTTACTTCTACACTTACCTATCCCTTCCTCCTCCTACTTTTCTTTCCTTTATTCTCCTCCCTGGTTCTTCGCCTTTTCCTTCTCTTCCCCTTCCTTCTCTTCTCACTCCATCCTTACTCTACTTCACTTACTCTCCTTCTCATTCCTCCTCCTTCCTTCCTCCTTATTCCCTTCTACCTCTTCACCTCCTATCCATATTTTCGAGTCTCACTCCTCCTTCCTTTCTCTTCACTTCTCTTACCTCTCATTCACTTATCCTTCTTATTTCACCTTCTCTTACTACCTACCTTAACACTTACACCTATTCTACACTCTCACCTCCTCCTTCCTTTCTCTGTCTCTTCTCTTCCTTTTCTCTTCTTTCTCTTCTCCTCCTTCCTTCTCTTTCCTTCTCCTCCCCTTCCTCCTCCGCAGTGGTTGGATGGAGAGGATACGTTCAGGCAAACCTTTTTCTGTCTCTCATCCATCATGGGGTGTCAGGGAGATGGGAGGGTGGGTAGGGAGGGGGGGAGGAGAGGGATGGAGGGGAGGGAGACATGGGAGGGTGGATAGGGAGGGTGGGATGGGGAGGGTGGATAGGAGAGGGATGAAAGGGAGGGAGACATGGGGAGGGTGGGGTAGGGAGAGAGAGATGGGGAAGGTGGCATGGGGACCCCCTCCCATCCACTATGGAGGGGGAGTGAGAGGGATGGATGAGAGAGATGGAGAGAGAGATGGAGAGAGAGAGAGAGAGAGAGAGAGAGAGAGAGAGAGAGAGAGAGAGAGAGAGAGAGAGAGAGAGAGAGAGGAGAGAGAGAGAGAGAGAGAGTGAGTGAGAGAGAGAGAGACAGATGGGGAGAGAGAGAGAGTGAGCGAGAAAGAGAGGATATGGGGGAGAACGAGTGAGGGTGAGGAGGTGAGAAGAAACCAGTATCAGGGAATAGGAAGGATAGGGAGAAAGAGAAAAGGTATGAGCGTAGTGGAAGAGGGAAAAGGTAGGGAGAAGGATATGTATTAAGAAGTGGGAGAAAAGAAGAGAAAGAAAAAAGAAGAGGAACGAAAATAGGTGGAATAGAAACATAACAAGGACGGGGGGAGGGAGGGGGTGAATTTAAAGGGTGTGGGGTGAATGGGGGGAGGGGAGAGCACAGGGAGTTAAATTTAAAGGGAGGAAGGAAAGGTAGGAGAAAGGTAGATGGAAACAGGAAACAGAAGAAAAGGAAGGTGAGGAACGGTAGAAAAAAGGGACATACGAGTGTGGATGCAAATATTTCACGTCGCAGATATAGAGGAAAAGCCGAGGATAAAAGTGACAAGACTCATTTCCAATCCGTTCGTAGGATTGGTGTCCTTCGCTCACGGCCAGCGCACCTGCACACCTTTTCCCCTCTCTCCTCCCTCCCCTCCCTCCCTCCCTCCCTCTCTTACACCTTCCCTCTCTCACCACCCTCCCTCTCCTTCCCCTCCTCCCTCCCTCCTTCTTACACCTTCTCTCTCTCACCCCCTCCCTCTCTCTTCCCCTCCCTCCTCCCTCCCTTCTTACACCTTCCCTCTCTCCCCCCTCCCTCTCTCCTTCCCTCTTTCCCCCTCGCCTTCCCTCCATCCCATTCCCTTCCTCTCTCCTTCCTCTTTCCCCCCTCTCTCCCTCCTTTGCCGTCCCTCCTTCTTCCTCTCTCCTTCCCTCCTTTCCTCTCCTTCCCCTTCTCTCCCTCCTATCCTCTCGCCATCCCTCCTTCTTCCTCTCTCCTTCACTCCTCCCCTCTCCTTCCATACACGTATACACACATATATACATACAAACATATTCACAGTTAACATGACTATTTATTCTTACACTCCAAATAGAATTCAGAAAAAAAATATGCACTCGGGAACGTAAAATAAGCATAACAATCTAC